TATTTAAATCAATTTAAATACATATTAAATACTATTAAATAATTTAGAATTATATAAAAATAAAATAAATCTCTAATAATATTTTTAATGAATTACAACATAATTCCTGTTTAACATTTACACAAATTATATTAAAAGTCAATTAATATATTTTTATTTTATTTTTTTGAGTGACTTAAAATTTAATATTAAATTTTATTAGTTTAAATGTCATCCCTTATTGATCGAAACTGATGATATGACAATTATATGGACAGAATTGGATAAAAGTTTTTATATATAAGATGAGTCTTTAATAGTTCAATTTTGCCCTTTACGTTTTCAATTTGCAGTCAGTACCTCCAAAACTACTTTATCTTCAAAATGTTTATGATATGAAAACTCAGTAAACCAAATGATTAATCCTTTAAAAGTTCTTTTATTTTCACTTCACTTAACAAGAAAAAAAACTTAGTTTTTCGAAGGAAAAAACCAGGTCTTCACAGCTTGCAGTATTTGTTGAACCAGACAGCAATGTTGAGAAAGCTTTCATAATCCGTCTGTGGTCTGCATAAACAATCACAATAACGCAAAACATGTTTTTTAAAAATCAAAACTTTCTCAAAGAGATTGCTTTAGCTATGGACAACGTAAAAATGGCAGCTTTTGTTTTTCTCTTTACCTGTCTAAAGGATGATTGTCATTGGGAAAGACAAAAACTTTAACCTCAACTCCTTTCGCCTTCAATGCCCTCACGTACTATACAAAACAAGTATACAAACAATACCAATGAGTTTTAAGTCTGCAAACTTGAACAAAGTTGCAGATTCTTTCAAGTGAATTGCGAAAAAAGGATCTTACTTGAAATCCGTTTGAAATGGGAACACGAAGATCCTGAGTTCCCAAAAGAAACAGAGTGGGTGTTTTCACCTGCAGAATTAAAATAAAAAAGGAAAGTGATTAAATAAAGTCTTTAAATGTGTTGAAGAACAGGAGTTGTGGTTTGACCTTGGAGATGTGTGCTATAGGAGACATTTGATGAAACCGAGACATATCTTCAGGTGAAGGAGCTTCTGTGTAGTGAGTCTGGTCCCCATAAGCTTCAAAGAAACACCAATCAGGTATATCTGTAATCCCAACCATTGATGCTATGTTGCATACAGGATTCCTTGCAGCTGCTGCCACAAATTTATCCGGCGCCTATAGGAAAACTCCGGTGTCAGAATGGTGATTTCTGATCTGGTGCCAACAGTTCAAAGGTAAGTAACTACAGTACCTGGCCAATCAAGTGAGTGGTCAGAAACCCACCATGAGAACCACCTAGCACGGTTATTCTAGACGGGTCTGCGAGTCCCATTGCAATGGCATGATCTACAGCCGAGAGCACATCTTTCACGTCCTGTATCAGAGAAGCTAATAATTTTAGCAGATCACGGGTCACAAGGAAGAAAAAATGACATTAGAGACGCATATATATACTACCTGCGATCCAACTTTTCCAGGTAGAGACTGCAAAGCATCTTCCCCAAATCCCAACGAACCTCTTCGATTCAAATGAATCAGCAAAAACCAAGTTTTAGGATCTCCAGAAGGTTGATGAATTAGTGGAACTTAGAGCTGTATACTACCTGTAATTTACAATCAGTAGACTGTTCCCAATCGAGGAGAGATAGGCCAATTCCTTGGAGAAGCTGCATGGTGCAACCGAGTGAGGGCCTCCATGGATAACAACAACCAAAGGATCACATTTCCCACTCTCCTTAGCCTTTGAAGACGATACATATATAGCTTCAATAGGTTTTTTGGCCCCTGCCATGTGTTTGATCATACGGAAAACAAGTCAGAAACTTTATCAACCAAAAACGCAAACAACGAACAACTGAAAGTTTTGTTTTGTTAGAACAAGACAAGTGTTAAAGTACCTTCGGTAAGACATTCAGAAACATTACTGATTGGAACTTTTAGAATTTTGAACTGAAGAGGTAAAAGCCCTGACGTGACCTGCCGCAATACAAACAAAAAGGTAGATAAGTAAGAAGCTTAACATCCTTAGAATCAATAGGATTTGGCAATATGATTTACCTTATCAGAGCATTTAAATATTGGTTTTTGGAGATTTGACCACTGCCATGAAGGCTTCCCAGCTGGATCAAGAACTTTCTTTCCAAACTTGATTTCAGGAACACTCACTGGACTGCTAGACACTACACAGTAAGAGAAAATATAATGTTTTTTCAAGCCTGGTGTGTATTTAAGTTTAAGGTGACATTAATTAAGAACTTGATCAAAGATGTTACCGGCAACAATGTCATCACCATCTAGTGCAAGAACGCTCCATGAATAATCTGAATCACTAGGGCTGACACGTGACACTTCACCACTGTAATTCCCTCAAGATATATTCATCAGTTAGCGCAGCAGCAGAAGAAAATTCTGAAACTTTTTCATATTCATTCATCAGTCACCTTAGCAAATTTACGCTGAGTATTGCTCGGCAACTGCGCCAGTAAGAAGACAACATAAGAGTCTGTCCATCTGAAAGCCACGGATCACTCAGAAGGCCGGTAACATAGAGCCCAGGGAAACAACCATCTTCAGGACAATTCACAACTTGAGTCTGTATTGTAAGATGTATTTGAATATATCAAATAACAGTTAAGATATTTTTGTTTGATTACCATATCTATCACTGAAGAAATATACTCTTGTGTAGAAAGATTTATAATTTGTTAAGAAACAAAAAAGTGGTCAGCTCAAAGAAAGTTTGAAGCCTGCACAGGCAGAAAAGGTTTGTAAAGTCTCACCACATTAACGATATTTACTGATTCAGTAAATTTCCCATCACTTGGCCAGTCAATCTTGTGAAGTGACTCGGTTGCCCAATGCGCCCCGGAATCAACAGCAGTCTTTGCAGATAAAAACAGAAGAAACTTGCCATCTTTGCTGGGAGAGAAGGAAAAAATGTATGGTGAAGAGAGTAAGTTTTCAACAGGTCATAACTAAAACCAACATTGCCAATCAAACAAAATATGTTTAACATATGCTGTGTATGAAGGCTCAACTACAAACAGAGTAACAATGACAAGAAATAATTTAGTAAATACATAATTTCAAAAGACAAAGAAACATTTTTAATAAGATGTAAACCTGAAACGAGGGGAAAAGCCGCTGCTTATGCTCTTAGTCAAATTATGAATAGGGAATGCTTGGTTTGCATCATCTCTGAAACAAAAGTAAACACAAACTCTATATAATATATTCAAGAAATTATGAATGATCAAGTTGTCCTCTACTGAGTTATAGAAGACACAAACTCACTTTGGTTCATCCGATCCCGATGAAACGCCTGTGAACTTGATTGCGTATAGGGAACATGGTCTGTTGTAGCAGTACTTAATACCAAACTTTCTTTTATCTCCTAACCATGCAGCAAAAACCAAATACTGAGCTGAGCCATTAATTTTTGGACTCCAAACAACCTGTCCAACGCTTATAGATCTTGGAACTCCTTTGATTTGCTCAACCTCTCCACTGTCAACAAAAAGAGAAACAATCATCATAAAAATGAAGAGCAATCTATCTTCTATAGTGAAGACAGGAGAGACTGATGAAACCTCTCAACATCGATAACAAAAAGCGCAGGTTGCCTTTTTCCCGCATATGCTTCTCCCCATTCCTCTTCCCAATCTCCTTGACCTTTCCAGCTTCCAATATCCTTGTCCAACGAATTCTCTTTCTTGTAATAACCTAGGTGGTCAAATGTAGGCTTGGGACGAGATGGTTCCTCGGCTACATAAGCAACACAAGTCTCGTCTGAATTCCAAGAGATCCCTTCAAACCTGCATCATAAACAAGCCTTACTCATTTTTCCTACTTCTCCAAGAAACTTGTCTTTAAAACCAGCCAAGAAAGTGCAGTACCATCCATCAACATAAACAGAGCCATGAACTTTCTGTGGAATATGGAACTCCTTCTCTAGCTGAGACGAACTCCATATCTCAAACTTTGTAGGAGAATCATTCTCAGGATTACGTATCACAAGGAGCTTCAGACCCGATGGTGATGGAACAAAAGCCGATGCACCAGTCATCTCGATGGGAAATGGCGCCCAGTGAAAGTTCACAGATTGGTTACTTTCTTTCGAGATATGACCCGATAACATAAACTTCCTCCTTTTATTAGCCAAAAGGTTTGCTTGACTCATTGCAAACATTGCCTGAGGACCTGCAGTATGGAAAAAATTAAGACTTGGGAATACTTTGATTCCAAAATTCATAACTTGGGATAAGCAAAACTCATTACCAGAATCAGAGTTGAAAATCCAAGCTTTGTCAATGCTGGGAATATTTACGAACTCTTTAAGTAGCTTTGACTGTGTGGCGTACTCTTCCTCAGTACTTAAGTCAAAGCCAACATGCAATTCCTTTGCCGAGTCAGTTCCAGAAGAATCCATTGCTACGAATCTTCGAATCCAATTCTTGCAACTGAAAAGTTGGATAAACATAAACAAAGTAGCTAAAGATTACACAAAACGATTCCAGTAATCAGATTTGTCATCCGTATGTTTTAAAACCAACCAATTCAATCCAAAATTCGATTGAACAGAACATACGGAAACCGATCAAAGGATGAAACTTTCGGATTGAAAACAATACCCATCAAAGCAACAACATCAATTATTCTCAATTCGTGCTCACACAAACACAAAAGACAGAGATCATAAATAGATAAGAAGAAGATGAAGAGCTTACGAAGAATGAGTGTGTGAAAGAGTGAAACTTCGACGGAAAAGAATGCGACGAAGATGAAGATGGGAGGAGCGCAAGTTAAATCCCAAATTGGTGGAGCAAGTGATTGGGTAAGTAAAGATTTTGGCCATCTAATTAAAAAAAAGTTCCAAACTTTCGATGTCACATCCATTATATTGCTCAGTCGATGAATTCTTAATCGAAAAATATCATGTTTTTTTTCTTAATTATTTCTCATACGATTTGTGTAAAAGGTGTAAAAAAAGCATAAACTATATGTAAATGTTCTTCTCCAAAATTGATCTTACAAAATTAACCAGCTACTTTTACATCTATAAAGTATGTGTATCCCTATTTTACATTTTCTCTTTCTTTTTCTTGTTGTTTCTTTTTACACCAAACTTTTTTTAGATCTAAAAGATTTCTAAATAAAGTAGGAAACTTTGAGAGGCATTTTTGCCAAAAACCAAAAGGGTTTTGACAAGGATCATAAGGCAGGAGATTCAGATCTTTTCATGATTCTGAGCTTTTGACAAGACGACGAGAACATGTCCCATGGAACATCACCGACCAACATCCAATCTCCATCTTTATCCTCATAAGTCGGTACAAATCCAGATCCTTTGTATCCTTCTCTCTCAGAGTATTCACCAATTGTGAACTTGAACATGTTCTCGAGTGCCTTGAGAAGCTCAGGATAGTTTTTGTACATCTTGAGATCTATCTTACGCAGATATGGAGCCCCATCCATACTCACTTTCACATAACTCACGCCTTTGTTGTTGTTCTTCCGATTCGATCTCACTGGAGGCCAACCAACGATTTGTGTTCTGAAAGTTTACAAAGAAAGATTCATCATTAGTACACCGATGCGATGGATATAAAAAAGATTAATCTTTGAACTTCAGATCTCAACTTACTTGGAAGGAGGAGAAGATTCTTCTATTAGGTTGTGTTCATCGGTGGTCTGATGAAACTGACGCTTGTTTCTTCTGACGCAAGAAACCTCTAGATCTTGTTCTTTTTCTTCTCCACCGGGCAATCCCAAACGAAGCTCTGTGTCTTTAAGGTTAAGCCCATTTATAACTTCCTCATACGCCATATTCTCTCACTGTACTTCTTGTTTCAAACGAAGAAAACTCTCTTCTTCTTCTTCTATATATCTACTTTCTTCTTCTTGAGTTTTTGATTCGATTCTTGAAATGAGATGGAGTTTGCTTGTGTGTTTGAGAAATAGAGAGGGGGAGAGAGAGGTTTATATAAGTAAACTTGCATTGAAATTAGGGTTAAAGAGAGAGAGATGGAAATTATGACGTTGTCGGGAGCAGGAGGGGGGCAAGTGAAAGGCAAGGGGACAAAGATGGGACATTAAGAATTTTGGACGCGCTTCTTTCTTATTTCAACGGTCCTGATTTGTCTCCGCCAGTTGCGTACGCGAGATCCTAGCCGTTTCTTTCTCTTAAGGTCAAAGGAGTAAAGGCGCCAGCAAAAGAAAAACATGGTAAGATAACTTATCTGCCTCTCGACCACACGATGAGTCGATGACACGAGGTTATGATTGTTATTTTTCTTTCAACTATTTGTTATTCGGCTTGATTGTAAGCAAAATCTTTCACATATGATATGTGTAGGTTGGTTATCCATTTTCTGAATGATATTTTGGATACTTTTGATTGTTTATATTTTTCATTAATCTCCTTTATATAAAAGGGATTTATTTGCTGGCTTCTCAGACTGTCTACATCGACAAAAATAATTTAAAAATAATCGGCCAATAAAAACATTAAAACATGCCACATCACCAAAAAACTCAATTATCATCATCCTTATTGCAACGTAGAAAGTCGAATAGATACAAGCCCATTAAATACAAGCCCAAAAATATTAAGCCATCAGCCCAATAAAGAATCTCCACCCCAATCTTCTCTATCGTTGGCGAGAGCTAAACTTTCCAGAAAATACCAGAAATCTGAATCGATACCTTCATATAATTTCCTTCGCCTGCTATGTCTCCTTCGTCTCCACCTACTAGCTATGAGCCCCTCTAACAATTGCTTTTTTTCTCATCTCAAATACATTGGAAAAACATAAAATTCAATCGACAAAAAAAATTTGACGTTACAAACCAGCCTTAAACTAAAACCAGCCATTAATAAGGATAAACATTAAATAAGAATTTCTGCAAAATAAGGATTTCACAGATGAAGTGTCTGTTAAGCTTATTTTAATTCTCCAAAATCCAAACTGACGCTCTCTCTTCCTACTTTTATTTCTCCATATCTCTCTCCCTGCTTCTTCTTAATCAAATACGCTCTAGCTGTGGACTTTGTGCTGATTTGTTGTTGAAGAATTATTGATTTGGAGTTGGAAGTGTCGGTTCTCATCTCCATTCTTCAATTGCGAAGGGGACAGGTTTGTGATAACATTTTTCTATATTGAAAGTCAAAGCAAGAGAAAATAAGTTTTATGATCGATTGTTTTGACTTACATATTAAGATCAAATGCGCCTATTATCTCTTCAACATCAAACTTTCTTTAATCTGTTCATATCAGTTCTTTTGGTGATTAGATTTGTTTCTGCTTTACTTAATGTTCATAGTTCATAAGCTATCTTAATCTCTACATTAACTTGGCCCATAGTGGAAAGAATAAACACTAAAATCGACGGCGAAACTTATCTTGCAGAACTTCCACGGCCGACACCACATCACCGGAAGCTACAATGGTACGTCCCCCTTTCAATATCTCTCAGTCTCCGTTTCTGATTGTCTCTCCTGTTAAAGTTTTCCCTTTTTTTAGTTTCATTTTAACCTTTCAGTCGTATAGATTCTATCTTTCGAATCACAAATCTATATTTCTAGATCATTGAGTGAATTCTTGGATTTCTGGTTTTGGATTGAGTTATTTTCTTTGTCACAACTGACTCTCCGGTTAACCATCCTTTTTAAGTACTTCGATGTTGAATTTTGCTTCCAGTGTTGATTCTGAGAGTATTGATCTGATTGCTGGAGGTAAAAGCAAGAAGATCAAAAAGACAGCTACAACGTACGATGATGTCTACCTAAAGCTTACTATGAAGACCAAAATTTTAACAACGATATATGGCCTTTACTTTTTGTCCTTCCATCAAAGAGGTTTTTATTAGGGTGAATCACACTGGATGTGAGAATTGAGATTTGAAACATTGTTTAGAAATTTCGCAGTTGTACTGGTTGATGGTAAGGAGAAAACAGAGCAAGTCCAATGCAGTGATATTGAAGAGGCTTTTCATGAGCAAATTCAACAAAGCTTCACCTCTATCTAGGCTCGTGGAATTCATGACGGGCAAGAAAAAAAAATTAGGAAGAGAATAGAACAAGGAGTTTCGGGAAAGAGGTCTCCTGGTTTATGAAGAGCAAGCATGAACGAGTTGAGGTACATATATATATGTAATATATTTGGTTCCATTCTATATATAAAAAAATTTGGTTCCATTTGGTTCCAGTCTCAAATGCTCTCGCACAAATCCAAAGACACATGTTCCTCAGGTTTGTATACAGCTTTACATTTATATTATATATTTAGTATATAATATTGTACGAAAAGCATCAGGCCAATATGTTCTTCCACCTTACGATTGCTCTTAAATCTACTTGATGCAGTTGACCCGATCCATAAGGAGGTCGATCATATCTACCATTAAGTTTGCCAACCATTACCTTTTCATTGCATGTATGTGAAGACTTTGCATTTTGAAATGATTCTTCTTCCTCCCATCCTTCTGCATTTTTACCCATGGGATCATGATTAGTTCTGGGATACTGATTCTGACTGCATTTTAACCGCCGAGTTCTATACAAGGTAAATTAATGAAATCACCACTTCAGCTAGCTATTGTATGTAATGTATATCTCTTTGTTGTTTGTTCGAGTAGTATCTAAAACAATGGTTAGATGATTGATGAATTCTAAAACAGTACATCAAGAACGTGCAATCGGCTTCAGCTCGATGCATGACTGATTAATTAACAAGCTATCCCAAGAAACGTTTCTGAATGAGCAGCAGAAAAAGCAGTGTGCTCATGAGGGGAATTGCACGGCTTTTATTTTGTTCTTTATTATCATTGTTAGGTTTTGGATCATTTTACTATCTTACGTTCTTGACTGATCATTTGCTATTTGCAGGGTTTAGATAAGATCTTCCAAGAAAATGATCATTGGTCTTCGAAGTTCCTCAAATGATATGCATTGTTTAAATATGAACTCACTATCTATGTGTTTTTCTATATACTCAAAATACAAATTATAACCTAAACTTAATTACACAGAAATTTCTGAAAACTCGGGCGTAGCCCGGGGCAATCCCTAGTTAGGTAAATAAGTTAAATAGCCTTAACATGTTTTCAGGTGAATACCTTTAATTACGGTTAACTACAAGTTTATCCTTCAATTAATTAAACAAATACCATGATATTTTATACGCATTGCGCTATTTAACCCCAAAAACATGTTAATCTACACATTCATTCATGATATGAGATTTGCTACTTCGTCCAATAACGCTCTATTTTATAATATGCCACGTAATGTGACGAAACTACATATTTTTGCAAAAATACGTAAACTATCTTTCAATTAATATTTTCCCACTCTAATCAATTTATTTAGATGGATGTCTACTTTGACAACCCGTGATTATCGACAGGTTTGTACAATTATGATCAATGATAACTTATAAGTTAGGTCAAGACTCTGGAGCAAAAAGAAAATGGGAATGGGAAATACATGTGGATAAGGGTGAAGAGTGTTTAGTAGTAATGGAATCATTGATACAAATGGTTTTAGGCCATGTGATGTGCCTTCTTGAATATGCATTTTCTGCTTATTATACTTTTATAAATGGGCCTGCGGAGATACGGCCCACGTGATATGTGAGCTATATAACTTTTACTTAGTTAATTCTCGAGATTACGTATTACTACTATGTTTATATTGTGCGAAGTATAGAGTCGACTGATCACCCGTTAAGTACTAGTTCATCAGGACCTGAATATGCGGATAGACTTTTGGGCTCATGGGCGGTTACAAACATAATACTCCCGACTTTGAGAATTTTGTGTGGCATGTTTGTCATATTTTTTGTTATTGCTAAATTGTATATATTCATTTATGAAAAGTTTAGGTGTTACAAAATGTGTCAAAATAATTGACCTAAAATGCTTGGTTTCATGAAAAAGATAAAAAAAAACACAGAAAATGTTTGTTTTTTAAACGTGGAACCTTTGAGTTGTCCATAGATCAATAGATCCATTGAAATGGTTCAGATGAAGTATTTCTTGGAGATAAACATGCTAAAAGGTTTTGTTGGGTGATCTTAGGAAGATATACGAGGAAATCCGTGCATGGAGTCTTTTAGGCAATATTCAGCCAAGGAGGTTCACAGTAGCAATCGATAGAAGGTGTTATTGCAGAGAGATCTATGTGAGAAATTTGTTGGCTTTTATGATTCATTTGTTCTTGAAAAGGAATTAATGATTCACCTCCAACCGTCTGATTCATAGTTTTACTTGGTAATTTTTGTTTCCTAAACAATATATAATTTGAACGATAAGCTTCTCCCAATAACTCAAGAAAATTACCATGCCGGTAAAAACACATACAAATCAGGCCTATCAAAATATTCAGTGACACTTAAAATAGAAAAAAATAAAAGAAAAGAAAACTTTTTAGATATGTTTACGAAAGCACATGCTATGTCAAAAGTTGAGAGCGTGCAAAAGTCAAGAGGAATGGGGACACGACTCACTGGAAACTTTTCAGGTCGTCGTTGAGCAAACAATGAACATGCCAATGCTCTCTCTCAACTTTCATGTGAAATGCACTCGCTTGGTTCTTATTCTTCTTACGTGTTCTCTTCACTTCCTTGTCACCGTGTTGGTAGATAAGAGTTAATGTAAAGAATAGTTGGGAACAACATTTCTAAAAAACCAAATTAAAAAAATAGGTTAAGCTTTTTGAATCTAAGGAAACAAACCATTTTGTTAAGATTTTGAGTTAAAAAAATCAAATATTTAGGGGGATACGATTCACGATTTATGTTTGATAGTGTTTACTGACATTGTCTTCTAAATCATTGTCATAAAAAGTTGTTAGAAAACTGTCACATTTTTTCTACTGCACGCCATTGTGGTTCACACGTTCGTATCTGCAACGATGCCTTACTAATTTTACTGTTAACTAGCAAAGTGCGCTTGTTTCTGTAGCGCTTCGATCGTAATTTGCCTAATATGTATGTAGAAGATGGCTTTTTTTGGTATAGTTCTTTATGAGTCCAAATTCACATTTCACACTATAATTGGCTAG